CAGTAAAGTCCTTGAGACTCTTATCTCCAATAAACCACCAGAAAACTGGAAGTGGTGCTGTGGCTCAAGTGGTAGAGCGCTCGGTAGAGCGCTTGCCTCAAGCTGAAGAGCGCAGGGAAAGCCCCCAAGCCCAAAATTCAAGCCCCACGACTGACAAAAAAAGGAAGTATAAAGCAGCATTTGTCATGTTGATCAAAATGTTTTAAGAAGACAAAGATGAAAAAGACACTCAGGAATCTGAAACAGGAGAATTGAGAGTTGAAGGTCAGTCTGGGCTAGAGTTAGACCTAGTCTCAAAACAAAGGAAAATAATGATTCCTTAGTCCACTCTTCCTATTTCTGTATACATTTAAATTTGTGACAGTAAGTTTTTTAAATAACAAAATACAAAACTGTATGTTAGCGAGGCACCAATTGCTCACGCCTGTAATCCTAGCTACGCAGGGGGCTGAGATCTGAGGATCGTGCTTCAAAGCCAGCCTGGGCAGCAAAGTCCATGAGACTCATCTCCAGTTAACCATCAGAAAATGGGAAATGGTGCTGTGGCTCAAGTGGTAGAGCACTCTCCTTGAGCTGAAGAGCTGAGGGACAATGCCCAGGCACAGAGTTCAAGCCCCATGACCGACAAAAAAAAAAAAAAGCTGTTGCCTGAATAAACACAATATCCAGGAAATTACAAAGACATAAATAGGTCATATATAGTAGGCATACAATTATAATGCAGGGAAAAGGTGATGAGAGCTATGAATAGCAATAATCATGGTATAAAAAGTGGTATCAGGCTGGGCACTGGTGGCTCATGCCTGTAATCCTAGCTACTCAAAAGACTGAGATCTAAGAATCATGATTTGAAGCCAGTCCTGCAGGAAAGTCTGTGAGACTCTTTTTTTTCAATAAACTATTTAGAATAGGCCAGAAATGTCACTGTGGCTCAAATGATAGAGTGCTAGCCTTGAACACAAAGAGGCTCAGGAACAGTGCCCAGGCCCTGAGTTCAAGCCACAGGACCAGCAAAAAAAGCAGTGTTATTAGAAAGGATAGACATGTGGCAAAAGGTCTGAGGAAAACTACTAATAGATGACAGTCAAACTACTCTTAGGGACAGAACAGTACTGAGATATTGGAAATAGGAAGGGAGGAGGCATTCCCCTCAGAAGAAAGAGTAATTCATTTACTCCTTATAAAGGAAACTATTACTGCTAACAGAGAAAAAGGGAGACAAAAATCTTGGACAGGTTATTGGCTTGGTGTAAGGTAAATATGCAAACTGAATGAATTATTTCTTGAAATCATGTGACTATTTTTACCTTTATAAGATTCCTATTTACACTGTTGCCTTTCCTAAGGTACAAGTGTATCTCTTGATAGCAATCGCCTTGCAATGGAATTACTTATTCAGCAAATGTCTTACCTGCATTTCATGCAGAGTGGTGTAGCAACTTCTTTCCTTATAACCAAAGGCCAAAAAAAAAAAAACCCTCACTAAACAATTCCCAAGCTTTTTTCTACTTTTTTTTTACTTCCCAAAGGATCTCAAAGTCTTTTTGGTGTTTGTGCCTGTATTGGGTCTTGAACTAAGGGCTTAGGCTGTTCCTTAATTTTGTTTGGTCCAAGCTGCCATTCTACTACTTGAGCCACAGATCCAGTTTGATTTTTTTTCTGGTTAATTGAACATAAAAAGTCTCCAGGACTTTCCCACCTTTGAAATGTTATTCCCAGATGTAGCCTCTTGAGAAGCCAGGATTACAGGCTTGAGCCAGCAGAACCCTGCAAGGATGTCAGTCTTTTACCTACTTATGAAGACAGAATTTCATAGTGGTTTCTCAAGAAGCAGACAACTTTACTTATAACTTTTTACACACCATTCTCAGTATGATAGGAATCTTTTGAACTAGAGCTTACTCACTGAGATCATGCCCTACAGACCAGCAAACAGAACCCAGTGTTTGAACAAAAGATTGTGGCACTGTGAAGCTGAGCAATTCCTTCTCTATCAAGAAAGGTGATTGCCTTCAGTTGCCAGAATCTCAGAGGCCAGGAGCAACCTGTAGTGGATAAAGATTACCAGACAATAGACAGCAATAATAAAGAAACTACAACAAAAAGCAAGCACTTTCAGGTGGCTCCTAAAAAGTTATAAACTATTTTACCTACTTTTATATAGGGCAAAGGATATAAAAACTTGAGAACGTCATTCTTGGTTTGACCCCCACAGTGCTTTATGAATTAGCTTCCATAGCTTAAGAGCTGAAAGATTTCATTCCAACTTCTAAATTACCAGAGAATTAGCAGTACTGGGGTTTGAATTTAGGGCCTCTGGCTCGCCAATCACTTGAGAGCCACACCCCTAGCTCCTTTTGTTTTCATTATTTTTCAAATAGGATCTCACTTTTTGCTCAGGCTGGCTTGAATGAACCACAAATCTCTTATTTATACTTTTTTATCTGGTCGTTGGGCTTGAACTCTGGGCCTGGGAGCTGTCTCTGAGCTCTTCAGCTCAGAGGGCTCTACCACTTGAGCCACAGTGCCACTTCCGGTCTTCTGGTGGTTAATTGGAGATAAGAGTCTCATGGGCTTCCTTGCCTGGGCTGGCTTTGAAACTCGATCCTCAGATCTCAGCCTCCTGAGTAGCTAGGATTACAGGCGTAAGCCACCTGCACCTGCCTTATTTATACTTCTTATAGCTGAGGTGACAAGCATGTACCATGGTTGCATGAGCTTTCCTTGGTTGAGATTGCCCTAAGGACTTATTGTCGCCTCCAAGTACTATCATCCCCATCTGCTTCCTGAGTACATATTATTATAGTTGTGAGCTGCTACCAGCTTTCCTTACTTAAAAGAATAAAAAGATCTGCTATCCCTGGGCTTGTCTTCCAGATTAACAGCTACTGTCATTCTCTCCTATTATATACTACTCTCCAGTCTACTCAGCTCCTACATTTGTGTGCGCAGTTCCTGAATATGGTTTTAAAAATAAATGCACATGGCTCATGCCTGGTAATCAGGAGGCTCACAAGATTTAGATCAACACTGCAAGTTCCAGGCCAGAATGGTTCATATGAAGACCCTATCTCAAAAAAATTCAACCACAGTTGGGACGATGACAATGGTAATATATTTTATGTACCAAACAAATCCAGTTGGGTGGACTTTCTTATAATTTAGGATTACTTTATACATGAATATAAGGCAAAATGAAATCTACCTTAAGAGGTTAAAACAAACAATTTAGAGCCAGGCCCAGGTGGCTCATGCCAGTAACCCTAGCTATTCAGGATGCTGAGATATGAGGATCACAGTTCAAAGCCAGCTTGGGCAAGAAAGTTCCTGAGACTTGCATCTCCAATAATCTATTCAGAAAAAGACAGAAGTGGTGCTGTAGATCAAGGGGTAGAGTGCTAGCCTTGAGCAAAGAAGCTTTGGGACAGAGCCCAGGCCCGGAGTTCAAGCCCCAGGACCAACAAAAATAATTGTAACAATTTAAGATGTGTGGAACTATGTCTTGGCAGCTCAAACCAGGATTAAATCACTGAAATTAAAACTATAACTGTACTGAAAGTATATAAATGTATTGAAAGTGTCTCAGTTTAGACATGGGAGATAGGTATCTGGATCAAACCACAAATGAAGTTTTAGGCAAATGCCAGCTAAACATAGAAAATGCAATATATATGGGCTGGGAAGGTGGCTCAGTGGGAGAGTGCTTGCCTTGCATGCATGAGGCCCTGGGTTCCATTCCTCAGCACCACATGAGCAAAAAAAAAGCCAGAAGTGGCACTGTGGCTCAAGTGGTAAAGTGCTAGCCTTGAGCTACAGAGCTGAGGGACAGCACCCAGGCCTAGATTCAGGCCCCACAACCGACCCAAAATAAAATACAATACATATGCAATACATATATGCATACAGACTGTAAAGGTGGGCTAAGCTGGTAGCTCAGTGGTAGAGTGCCTGCCTAGCATTCTCAAGGTCCTGGATTCAAACCCCAGCACCACAAAACAGGTAAAACAAGGGGGAAAATGTGAGATAAAGAAAAAGGAGCTAAATAATCACTAAATACTTCCATCAACTTTTACTAATGTTCATTTAAATCTACTTTTAAATGCTCTTACTGCCCACAAAAGGATGACACGGTGGTTCTAAGGTGTTGGACTTAAATAAACATCATAAACACAATGATCTATCACTTTAAGCACAAGTTTCCTAATTATACAAAAGTAACCGGCAGCGAATTGCTTAAATGGCACCGTTTTCTAGTAAAACCCCACTGTCATGCACGGTAAATAAAAACAGACATAGAATTCCCCTGTCTCGGTATGATTGGAAACAAACGGAGAGGCACAGTATTTGTAAAGGACAAAGTACCCAAACTGAGATTGTCGACTCTTCTAAACGAATCATTCTGGAGGAGAAAAAAAGAAGCAGGGCTCCTAAGTCATTTCTGCCACCCCCTCAGCCTTCTCCTCTCTGCAGTTTCTGTGAGCGAGCATGACAATGCAGCATCACGGCAAGACTTAGTTCTTTCTACTGCTTAAAAGGACGCTGTGTTGGGCTACCACAGCCGTGACACAGCTTTCCCTCCATCCAAGGACGTCCTGTGTCTCACAGGCCAAACGCTTGTGGGGAAGCCGGCGGTAGCGGTCAGTGTGACCACCTGTCCCCTGCTGCACGCGGACCGCTCTGCGTGGATGCTCGGAGAATTCCCAATCTGTTTGGGGGGGGCGGGGGACAACAAAAATCCTCCCCATTAGCACGTGGTCTGCCTCCCCAACCCAGGCTGCGGCGACTGCTGAACTCGGCTGCAGGGGTCTTGGAAGGCCAAAATTGCCCCAACCCCAGGCAGGGTGGCCCTAGCATTGCAAATCCCTCTGTGGCCTTCCTCCTTTCCTTACCCAGCAGCCAGGGACCGTAAGAGGGGCGGGGTGAGAACACAACAGCCAGCCCTTCTGAACCCGATCTCCCGGTGCAGACTCTGCGCCTCCTTATATGTCACCCAGGCTCACCAAAAAACGTGTCGAGCTGGTACCCTGGTCCACTGCCCCCACCAACGGCCCCAAAACTGCTTTCTTCGCGGCTGCCATGAAACCACCTTTAGGTCGATGTACAATTTGGCCGGTCTCCTGGATGACCGTGGCCGGCTGGGAAACAGCAAGCAGTCAAACACGAGGGCGAGGCTGCGCGGGGAGGCTGAAGGCTCTGACCGCGTTTCAGGCAGCCCCTTTACCCGCGCGGAGCCTTCTCACCCCGCCCCTCCAGCCCAGACCCCGCCCCTCCCGCGTTCCCTAGGGCTTCGGGGGCGTGGCGGGGGGGGGCGCTGTCTTCCAGGCTGCCCAATGAGCAAAAGCAGAAAAAAAAGGCCCACAGTTCGGACATTCACAGGGCGGTGAGACGCTACGGGGGCGGGTCTGGGGCGCAGTGGAGGATGTGCCCGGCGCAGTAGGTCACGTGGAGGAGGCTAGGGTGCGGAAAGCCTTTGCTGGGCTGCGGCTCTGGCTCAGCGGAGCTGTAGCTGCATATTAGCCTTAAGCGCCTCTGGCCCTTAGGAAAAAAAACTCCCGTACACCCGCACCCTGGGGCTCACGCCTGTGGGTGAGTCCCCAAACGCAGAACTGTTTGTTCCGTCCGGTAGGTTGGGCAGAGCCCAACGTGAGTGACAGCGTGAAGCCACCCGAGCCCGGCCTTCCCGCGCTTCCCACGCCCCACCCAACTCCCCGCGTTAGGCCCCAGTTAATAATAGTAATAATCTCTTTTACAGGGACTGATCCCAGGTGAGACCAATTGAAGTAACACGCGAACCCCTCACCTTTGCAGGTTTTTCAGGGACAAGGTATGCGGAAGTTCTTTAGCATTCAAGGAAAACACTGGAAAAAAAATCAACCTCCCCAAATCCCTCAATTGACCAACCAGGCAGAAGGCGTCAGGCACCTCCCAGGCTGACGCACCCCAGCTCGGGGCTTGGCTTTCCTCGGGTGTCCCCACCCCCACACGCAATTTCCGCTCACTTTATTAACTGCTCTGACCTGCTGGAGAAGAAAGAGATTCTTCCTTGACCTTGAATTTACCTTGTGAAGATCCTTTTCAGTCACGAGTTCTGCAGGCTTGTAAACTTTAGACCTACAGGGCAAAATAGCTTTCAAAATAACCTATTGCTTTTTAATGTATAGGTATGCGTGCCAGTTTATTTCATATTCAATGCCTATAAACATGTTAATATATGTTGATATACAGGAATCATCATATATATTTCCATGCTATGCAGTCTGGGTTGTTATTCTAAAGCATATCATTTTTAATTGCTAATTGAATACTCACTGAATATATTTTATTACTTGCCAATTTCCAAAGCACTCCATTATTCCCTCTTTTTTAAAAAAATTAATTTTATTGTAAACATGCTGTACAGATGGGTTATAGTACATGAGTAAGATAATGAGTACATTTCCTTATTCCCACTCAATTTGTCATCACTTTCCCACATCTCACAGTGTTTTGGAATTTAGACCTCCGCCCTCACTTTGTCCACTCTTTGTTTACAGTACATACATAGTTTTACTACATTTGTTAGGAAGGCATAGTCTACGTACCTATCAGTTCTTGGTATTTCAAATAAGGTCTGCTTGTGGAGATACTGATTCTGTAACTATGGCTAAATTGGCTTGCTTTAAGATAAGGAATATGAGTCAGTGCTAGTGAAGTTCCTGGAAGCACAAGGGAGGCAGACAGACATATATAGTAAGCAAAAATTAAGGAATTAGGCAACTTACCTCTAAAAACTATGAAAGGCATTAATTGATGAATGACATAAATAAAGGTTTTCCTGGTTCTAGAAGTCAGTAAAACAAAAGAACCAAACTTAGCACATAGAAACATTTTTTTTTTAAATCCTGACCATGTTTGAACTTTGACATACTTTTGTATCAGATTCTAACAGGGCAGCAAATTATTTGTTAGCAGCACAGTGGGGATCAGACTTCATTTATTTCAGAATAAGTACACTAGAAATCCTTGAATTTATTGATCATGTGATTCCTACAACAGTGTGTGTCCTACATCCCCACTCCTTTCACCAAGACAAAACTGAAAAGCTGAAATATGATTTAAATATTCAGTAATTGCAGGTAAAGATAAGAGGAAGGATCCTATGTGGATGAGGCTAGTCAGCCTAGCTCTGTTCCAAAGGCTTCCTATTACCCTAAATATATAATAGATCAATACATCTATTTCCATTTTTCCTTTTTTTGTTGTTGTTGTTCATGGGGTTTGAACTCTGGGCCTGGGCACTATCCCTGAGCTCTTTGGCTCCAAATGAGCGCTCTACCACTTGAGTCACAGTGCCACTTCAAATTAATTGAAGATAAGAGTCTCGAGGTGCTGGGAAGGTGGCTCAGTGGTAGAGTGCTTGCCTTGCATGCAGAAAGCCCTGGCTTTGATTCCTCAGCACCACATAAGCAGAGAAAGCCGAAGTGGTACTGTGGCTCAAGTGGTAGACTGCTAGCCTTGAGCTGAAGAGCTGAGGGACAACACCCAGGCCCAGAGTTCAAGCCCCATAACAGACCAAAGAAAAAAAGAGTCACTCATACGTTCCTGCCAGGGCTGGCTTTGAACTGCGATCCTCAGCTCTCAGACTCCTGAGTAGCGAGGATTACAGGCATAAGCCACAGGTGCCCAGCTTCTTTTCCTTTTAGAATTAACGTCTTTGGCGTGCCCTTTCTCATCCTTTTAAATCCCCAGTGGAAAACTAAATGTAAAAAAAAACTAAATGTAAAAATGAATAATAGATACTCTTTCTGTTTTTCATGCTACTAATGAGACAGAGTTGCAAGTAACAATGAGTTACAGGAAATATATGATACATAGTTTTGAGACCAGCCAAACTCTTGTGGAAGAACCAGGAATAGAATTTCAGTTTTCTGACATCAAATCTAGTGCTGTGTACAGCAGCCTGAATGAACAGAAGTGGAAGGGATTTAAAAATAAAAAGAGATGATGTGCTGGAAATGTGACTTAGTGATAGATTGCTTGCCTAGCATGCATGAAGCCCTAGGTTCGATTCTTCAGTACCACATAAACAGAAAAGGCCAGAAGTGGGGTTGTGGCTCAAATGGTAGAGCTTTAGCCTTGAGCTGAAGAGCTGAGGGACAGCGCCCAGACCCAGAGTTTAAGCCCCATGACTGACGAAAAAAAAAAAAAGATAAGAAATAAAAACAGATGAAAAGGAAGAAAGATAGGATGCTGGTACACCTCAATGTCCATACCACCCATGTCAGATCGGAAGGCAAAGCACTGGAAGAAACACTAGACTGGAAATGTAGGAATCTTGGTCTGATCTTGGCTCTGCCATTTAGCATGTAATATTTGTGACCTTAAGTTTACTCATTCTTCCCATGGTTTGCTTTTGCTCATTTGGAAAATAGGGAAAATGTCACTGACACTGACGTGGACGGGTTAACATGAGACTTAACTGGTGCAATGCCCATGTCCGCTGTCCAAGTGGCACAGTTAATCAGGGAATAAAGATGCAGTTTGGGGTTGGAACTGTGGCTCAGGTGGTGAAGTTGCTTGCCTAGAAAGTGCAAGGCCTGGAGTTCAAACCCTAGTAGACCTCTCCCCCTTAAAAATGCAGTTTTAGAGCTGGTGCTGGTGGCTCATGTCTGTAATCCTAGGCACATAGGAGGCTGAGATCTGAGGTTCATGGTTCAAAGCCAGCCTGAGTGGAAAGTCCCTTATACTCTTTTTTTCCCAGTCCTGGAGCTGGAACTCAGGGCCTGGGTACTATTCAAGAGCTTTTTTTGCTCAAAGCTAGCACTCTACCATTTGAGCTTTTTCTGGATTTTTCTATTGAACCCAGGGTTTCATGCATGCTAGGCAAGCGCTCTACCACTAAGCCACATTCCCAGCCCCCTGATATTTCCACTTCACCACCAGAAAACTAGAAGTAGGGCTGTGGCTCAAAGTGATAGAGTGCTAGCTTTGATGGAAAAAGCTCAGAGGACAGTGCCAAGGCCCTGAGTTCGAGCCTCATGACTGACAAAAATTAGAAAAAAGAGAGAGAAAGAAAAAAATGTCAAGGAAGGAAGGGAGGGAAACATTAGGTCTGCCTAGGTACACACCCATGGCCATTAACAAATGTTTCAAAGGCTTATTTCATTGCATTAAAGAGGAAGGGGAGAGAGGGCTGTTTTCCTGGGCAGACCTAACAGGAAGGAGTAAGGCAAGGAGGAAAGAAGGAAGGCAGAGAGGGAAGGAAGGAGGAAGGAGAGAGAAAAATGAAAATGAACCTTATTTAATAAATGAATGTTTCTCATGCTAAGCACAAACACCAAGTCAGTTCTAGTTTTAGTTCATGAATATTGTAGAAATATCCTCCAATAAGTATGTTAATATTTATTATTGCATTATATTATACATATTATGTTATTATATTATTGTTTTTATTATGTTTATTCTAGTTATTCTAATGTTATTATATTAATGTTTATTGTTATAATGGAGGAAGAGAAAAAGAAAGAAAGAAAGAAAAAGAAAAGGAGGAATTGCTCATCATAAGTACTCAAGAAGTGGAAATGTGAGGATCAATGTTCAAACCCCATCCTGGGAAGACAAATTTGAGAGATTATTATGTCCAATTACCAACAAAAAGTCAATGGTAGAGCACCAGCCATGAGAGGAAAAAACCAAGACCCTGTGTTAAACCTCCCTCCCCTCCCCGCCCCCCTGCCCCAACCAAACACAACACAGCAGAAGTGAAGGCCTGAAACCAAGGTCCTTCTTGCAAATTACTGAAGTATCTTTGATGGATATCTGCTTTGTTCTCCTAATTCCACGTTGGTCCCCTCTCAGCCCATTCTTTTTTTTAATAAGTTTTTTTTATTGTGAAAATACTATACAGAGAGGTTACAGTTACATGAGTAAGTTTTTTATTGTGAAAATACCATACAGAGAGGTTAACAGTTACATGAGCAAGGTAATGAATACATTTCTTATCAAGCATTGTTGCCTCCTCCTTTGTTTTTCCCCTACCATCCCTTTTCTCCCACCTCCACAACTACACTCCCCCCCCATGCCTCCCCTCCTAAATTGTATTTTTCAACACCAGTGTCTGGTACATCTCATTGTTGCAATGGGTCAACCTGTATCCCTCTTCTTTTTATGTATCCAAAGACCCTATATGAAGGACTTTCCTCTCCCTTCTTTGACCCATTCTT